AACCGAACCACTGCTGAACCATCTTGCAACACATCCATTAACGAGTCTAAGGCTTCACGTGCAAAGTTAGCAGACAGGTTTGTCAGTGTGCATAAGGACTCACATACAGACTTCCTCACCTTCAGGTAAGACAGAAACGAAGTCAATATTTTCATATAATCACATAAGGAAAAAGCATGATAACTATAACCTCTGTGAACAAGGAGCTATATGACTAAGGGATTTTCGAAAGTTACCTCAAAGAACTCATCCTCAAGTCCATGAACTAGTGCACCAGCAACACTAGTCGCCAACAAGACAAATTGTTCAGATGTGCACTGACCCAGAGTTTCCTTTTGCTTTCCATGCCCTGAAACTCTCTTTAATAAACTTTGCAAAAGAAGATCCTCTGATACCATTTCCATCTTTCTGAGGCCTTTAAAGGCTTCAACCCTGACCTTCATGCTCATATCTCTTACCATGGAGCATAGCTATATGTACATACAGTGAATGTGTCATGTGATATTGAGGGACCAGCCAACAACTGTCAGAAATGCTAGAAAACGCAAATAGATACTTAAACACCAAAAAACTTGGTACATATAATCCTTCAAACCCTGTGTAAACCACAGTACAAGAGTATACCTTGGCAAATACTTCGTTAGACCAATAGGCTTTCATGTCTGAGTTAGAAGCTGCCAACATCAGACCCCATGAAGTCACCTGAAATATAGCAGTTTTTATCATTCAAAGACCCACCACCATCAACTAGCACTCAAAAACAGAATATTAATCATTTGGCATTGACTGAACTCAACAAGAACACAACATTCGATGACACTTAACACTGAAATATCTGATTTTCTTGCTTGTATACTAAACAGAATATCTAATTTTTTCACTAGTAATGACAAAAAAAGGAGTAACACTTGGTTTAGTCATCTAAAGATATACCCTAGAGCACATTGGCCTTTGTTTGTTGGTGATCAATAAGAGTTGATATCAAATTAGTCTTTCAATGCAATAAATCCCCATTTGTCCTCCGAAAGATACACTCCACATCACATTAGCCCTTCGTTCATACATCCGAATGGTCTTCAAAATTCAATCAATAGGAATGTCATCAGTTTGGTCCTCTAGAAGACCAATTTTATGGCATTGACCAACACTGAAATACTACTCTGATGTCCCAATGGTTCCAAATGCGGTGTACTGCAGTCTATTGCAATTTTTAAAATCCCAGCAATTTGCACACAATTTTTGATAAATCACAATTTAAGGCCATAGGCATGACTAATATAGAGTTATAGACAGCCAGTATAAATGTATAATTAAAAAAATCTTAAAATAAGATCACTTTAAACATTTCCTTTTAAAAAATAATATTTTGAAAGCCACCCACGAGGAATTCATGTTCAACCTAAAATTCCTTTCAAGTTAACTTATCTTAAAAAAAATACCTAACCTTTTGTTGTTAGATTAAGAAGCATAAGTTTTGTTCTTTTTGAAAAGGCATATAATAATTTTCTTAACTAAAGATAACAGCACACACACAAGATACGTGATATGTTCCAACATTACAACATATATGTATGAATACCAACCAAAACAAACATTTTGACTTACATGACTAACAATCTAAAAAATTAAGCATGAGTAATCACTAATCAGTTTCACACCACAACAACATTAAGAAGAATAAGTTATTAATGAACAAATAATAGTAAACAAATAGGCATAGTAACACAGCCGGTTGACACCAAGTTTGACTCTAAAAAAATGAAAATTTAAACATATTCTTAATTAATGAGCAAACCAAAATATTAAAAATATTATAATTTAAAATTTAAAATACTTAATCATTATAATGATCAATTTATATTCTCAACAATGAGAATGAAAAACATAAATATTTATAATTTCCTGGTGTAAGAATTAAAACTTAAAATAAAGACACAATATTTAATAAAGAGTTGGAAAAATAAAAATAAGAATGCAAGAAAGCGAGAGTTGTTAAACTGAGTGAAAGTGTGAAACTTACAACACGAACCGCACAGAGCCTGACGCAGGAATGAAAATCACAAAGAATCTGAACCGCGCGTCGATAACACGCTTCCACCAACGCAACGTCTCGGAACTCCCCACGCTCGCTGAGGCCAACGAGCCCTTCCAGCGCAGCCTCTCGCACGTGCGGGTAAGGGTCCTTCGTGAACCCCAGCAGCACCGCCAGCAGCGACGCCGGCCGGACCTCCAACCGCGTCCCGGCGTTCCGCAGCATCCACGCGCGCGCGGCCACCGAGTCGCCGAAGCACAGCGACGCGAACTGCGCATCGTCGTCGAGCCGGAGCCCGGGGAGCGACGCGAGGGCCTCCACGGCGAGGCTTGGCGGCGGCTCCACGGCGGGGAGGGGGACGGCGGGGCGGTGCGCGGCGGCGTCGGAGATGAGCTTGAGCACGTGGTGAGTGAGGTGCGAGGGGGTGGCTAGGGTTTGGAGGATGGAGGAAACGGTGCGTTGAGGCGTTGAAGGGTCGATGAGGAGGGACCTCATGGAAGAGAGGGTGCGGAGGGAGAGGGGTTTTTGGGGATTCTCGTTTTGTTGTTCCGCCATTGCAGGAACTGCAAGTGAAGCTGAAGCTGAATTTTCAGATTTTAATTAACATAAAGAGGACATGCAAATTTTTATTTTTTATTTTGTTTTACAATGGAGCCAATTTTATTTATTTTTTAAATAGAAGGAGTAGTTATTTTTTAAATTTTATTTTTGTGTTATGTATGGAGAGAACATTTTGAAATTTAAATTAATGATGAAAAAGATAAAAGGAAAATGGAAATTTTGGTTTTAGATAATTCAAATAGTTTAACATTTGTAATTTTTAATTAAAAACCGAGTTTTAATCTCTATTTTAAATATAATGTTACGACTAGAATACCAACAATACCATTTTATTTTCGAAGGAAAGAATTTTACATTCCAATGAAAAGAAATAATCATGTTGACAAAATTGACGTTTCAAAATTGCCTTGTTACTCAAAAAAATTAAATATATTGTATATTTTATTAAATGAAAAGAATTCATTTTTTTTTTTAAATTACAACTTCAATTTTTATATTAGAATATTTTTCACCGAGACGCCGATTAATTGTTACGACGTTTTCAGCAAAATTACCTCATTTTTATATATATATAATAGAGAGGTAAGAAATGATAAAATCATATTATGTATAATTATTGAAATGTTTAAATATGTTTTTAATTTATCAAATTTAAGATAAATTTATTTTTAATTTTTGAAATTTAAAATTATTATTTTTAATTTTTGAAATTTTTAAATATTTTATTTTAATTTTTTAAATCATCAATAATATATTTAAAAGTAATAAAATAAGACAATTATATAATATCAATTGAATTTAATGTGATATTTCTACTAATAAAGATACTAATAGATTATTTTATATAGTAATATTTGAAATTTTTTAACAAAATTTAAATATAAGAAATAAAATATTTTTTTTTAAATTATAGGAACTAAAAATATTAATTTTAAATTTAAGAGACAAAAATAAATTTATTTTAAATTTAAAAGATTAAAAATATATTTAAATTTTGTTGAAATTTATTTAAAGTAATAAAATTACGGGAGTATCGCTCCTTATTTAATTCACATGACTCATGGTTAATGATGACTACGGAACGGGTTTGACATTAAGGATTTAAAAATAAAAACATGTTTATATTTTAAAAACTCATTTTCATTCCTGTTAAATTTTATTGATAAAAACAACTCATTATATTTATTTTATAATTTTATTTTACTTATATATTTTAAATAAATTAAATTATAAGTTAATGATAAAATTATAATATAAATAATATATAAAAATAATAAATAAAAAACTACTTAAAAATAAAAAATTTAAGAATTAAATTATATTTTTAGTTAAACATATAATTTTAATTTTGTTACATAATTATTGACTCTGTTATAATTTAAATTATTTAAATATTAAAATAATTAATGTATTTTTAATATTTATAAAAATAAAATATTAACCTTAATACATACGTATATATCTTTATTATAAAAGCAAAATGTAACGGGAAAAGGAACTTATACATTTGAAACCAATTTCTTAGGTTGAAAAAACATCGTTTCCAAACTTATATCTAATTAGAGTAGATGTTCTTTTTGTCAAAATTGAATCAGAGTTGGATGGGTACTCAGGGATTTAGTTATCATGCCTACTCATAATTGTATAAATTTTAATACATTTTAACCAATAAAAAAAAGTTTTTTTTTTTGGAATAAATGTGTTAAAAGAATTTGTCACTCCTTGCACACATTAATGTGCCCGAGTTAATTATACATTACCCACATTATATATATATATATATATATATATATATATATTACATTTTTACCCCTCTAGTTAGGAACTAAAATTACACATCTACGATACTTGTTAGACTAAAATTGTTCAATTAAATTTTGAGACATTAAAACTGTACAATTATCAATTTAAATTGAAAAATAGTTAATACTTTATTTCATTAATTTAAATTAACAGATAATTATAAAAATATTTTATATGTTAATTTGAATCTACATGACGAAATATAATATAATTTTTAAATTTTAAAAAAAAAATATAGGTTTGATATATGTATTAAGAATTTTTAATCGGGGCTTGCTTGTTTGTTAGTTGGGGTCGCGTTCTTTGTGGTTGGCTTGTCATTAGTTGACATCTCTGTTCTCCAGTCGATGTCCCCTGTTTTAAGGTCATTCTTGTCATGACGTGGTGTTTTTGAGATTCTTGTGAAGGTTCTTTCTTGTTTCCCTTCTATGTATTTTTCTCTCTTCTTTCGCATCCCATGTTAGTGGACATTCATCCGATAATGATCTTGATGGTGATGATAAAAATGGTGATAGAGACCTTGGACTTGGAGATAATACTATTAGAGGATTATACATATAGATTTGAAGATATTGGTCTTTTTTTTTAGTTTTTTTATCTGCTGTCATTTTAAGAACTTATGCCTTGTATAATTAGGGCTTGCTTGCTTGTTTGTTGGTTGGGGTCACATTCTTTGTGGTTGGCTTGTCATTAGTCGACATCTCTGTTCTCCAGTCGATGTCCCCTGTTTTAAGGTCGTTCTTGTCATGACATGGTGTTTTTGAGATTCTTGTGAAGGTTCTTTCTCGTTTCCCTTCTATGTATTTTTCTCTCTTCTTACGCATCCCATGTTAGTGAACATTCATCCGATAAAGATCTTGATGGTGATGATAAAAATGGTGATAGAGACCTTGAACTTGGAGATGATACTATTAGAGGATTATACATATAGATTTGAAGATGTTGGTTTTTTTTTTATAGTTTTTTTATCTGTTGTCATTTTAAAAACTTATGCCTTGTATAATCGGGGCTTGATTGCTTGTTTGTTGGTTGGGGTCGCATTCTTTGTGGTTGGCTTGTCATTAGTCGACATCTCTGTTCTCTAGTCGATGTCCCCTGTTTTAGGGTCGTTCTCGTCATGACGTGGTGTTTTTGAGATTCTTGTGAAGGTTCTTTCTCGTTTCCCATCTATGTATTTTTCTCTCTTCTTTTGCATCCCATGTTAGTGAACATTCATCCGATAAAGATCTTGATGGTGATGATAAAAATGGTGATAGAGACTTTGGACTTGGAGATGATACTATTAGAGGATTATACATATAGATTTGAAGATATTGGTCTTTTTTTTTAATTTTTTTATCTGCTGTCATTTTAAGAACTTATGCCTTGTATAAAATGCATGATTTGCTACTAAACTTTGTCACTTTATTATTGTAATTTGTTATTTTACTTTAATATGGAGTTATATATTATGTTATTTATAAGTACTTTTATATATATATATATATATATATATATTACTAAGTAAACTTCTATGAGTTTATGATTCGAGTTTATCTATTTGTGGGACCTCAACAAGCTTATGTAAACTTACGATTAGGGATGGCAACGGGGCGGGGCGGGTACGGGTTTCATGATCCCTATCCCCGTCCCCGCGACTGAAACCCATACCCGTCCCCGTCCCCATATCCGTCGGGTATGTAAATTTTGTCCCATCCTCGTCCCCGTCGGGTATCGGGTATACCCGTACCCGTACCCATACCCGTAAAAAAAGGGCTGGTGCGGTGGCTCCGTGGCTGACTGGCTGGTGCGGTAGGCGGCGGTGCCGTGGGCCTTGGAGAGGGAGACGGCGACAGCCACGCGGGCGAGGTTAGCGTGGCTGCGGTGCACTGCGACGGCGAAGCGTGAGAGGCAGAGGTCCGGGTATAGCGTGGTGTTGCAGCTTGCTCGGATGAAGTCGATGTCGCCGAAAGTGTCGGGTGCAGCGGTGACGGTGGTGGCGGATGGGGTGAAATGGGAGAAGGTGAATGTGAATGTGAAGAGTAAGAGAGAGAAGCGGAAAGGGGTTGTTGTCTGGACTTCGAATCAGATTTGAAAAATTGAAACACTAACCTAAGTGTTTGCTTGCTCATCGTGACGTTTAGATTTTACAATAATATTTAAAATGTTAATTTTTTTAAAATAATTAAACGGGGATGGGTATTTAGCCGGGGACGGGGACAGGGACGGGGACGGGGCAGGTAAGTATATACCCGACCCCGTACCCGTACCCAATTTTTTTTTATCGGGTTTTACCCATACCCGTACCCGTACCCGGTCAAAGCGGGTATTCCCCGTCAAAGTCGGGACGGGTTCGGGTATTACCCACGGGTACGGGTTTATTTGTCATCCCTACTTACGATTTTGACAACCTTTGTTATAACACAATTATTTGATAGATGTTGTATTAAACTTTTGTTTTGAATAACTCGTTATGAGTTGACTTATTCAATTGATGCTTAATGAGGGATCTTTAGCCTCATGCGATTATTTATTTAATCTTTATCCCATTAGATGGTTAATATCCTATTTTGTGTAGCTAATCATGATTAAGGGTAGTCTTCTCTCATTCAAGTGTCTTCCAGAATATTTGTTTGAATATCATGAAGAGTAAGACAAATCGATTCTTTACACAAGGTGTACAAATTCTACTCTGTAATTCTTTTTATATCATCATGACTAAATTACACTTTTGATCATTCTATTTTTGTCAATCTATAATTTTGATTTCTCTATTTTAAAATAAAAATATTTAGTCCTTTTATTTTTAAAAATATAGAATTTTGGTCTTATCATCAATTGATATTTATTGATCATTAAACTTTGGCGACTTTTGATTACGTATCATTGCTTAAGTAATGTAATATATAGTGATATGACATGTAAAACTAAAAATTAAAAAATAACATACTATAAAATCTTAGTTTAAATTTGTATATATATTTTAACAAGTAATTAATATTTATTTTATTAATAAATTTTATTTGCATGATTTTTTATTATTTTTTATGCTTCCAATTGTCATATTCTTACGTGATACATCACTTAAATATGAATAAATGTTAAATTTTAATAATTAATAAATATCAATTTAATAAAAGGATTAAAATTTCATATATTTTAAATTAAATTAACTAAATATCATTTTAAAATAAAGAGTTAAAAATATAGATGAAAAATAAATAAATTAAAAATACAATTTAATCTTTCTTCATTTACTGAGAACATTATGTCCAGTTCTTGATTAACAAATCAAATTCCATTAAATGCTACTTTGTATAAGAAAAGTTAATTATTTTACAAGTCACTCGTGAGTCCTCTCTATATACAAAGCTTTCCCAATAATTTTTTTTTACTGTCTTTCTACAGTTCAAAAATCCAAGGATTCTTTTCAACTAAAAGCCTAGCCTAGTCAAGATTTGGGAAAAGTTTTAAGAAAAATTTGACAACAACTAAAACTGATGACTTCTTAAAAACAATTTATATTATATTAAATATTGTACAACAATGACTCGTTTTTGTGTCATGTAAAACGAGATGATGGGAAAAACAAAAACAAATACAAACTGATGAAAATGGAGTAAAAGCTGGCGTGTCCACTGTCTGTTGCGGCCACGACAGTGAAAGCTATAGCTCTCAGCTCTCTCTATATATACATCCAAAGTGTAACATAGGCTCACACCAACTAATACACACTCTTTGAACAAACTAGCTAGGTCAGAAATAGAGGAACATGCCTTGCCTTTATATCACCACCAACCTTAACTTAGATGGAATTGACACTCATCCCATCTTTTCTGAAGCCACCACTGCTGTCTCTTCGATCATCGGCAAACCACAAAAGGTAATTCTAAACCTTAATTTGCCTTCCTTTCTTGCTGATCAAGTAAACTTTAATCACATGTTTGATCTCTTATGTGAAAACTTGTTTAACCAGTTATGGTCATGATATTATGAATGAGATTAGTCTTTGATGGGACAAAAAAGAATTATATATGATCTCACATGATTTGCCTAATGGAACAATTTAATTATTTTAGTTTATAATAGTTCTTTTGGGCATCCCTTAGCTGTGTATGAATCCTTGTTTGGATATTGACATATATTAATAAATTAACAAATTATATATGGGGCTGCTCAGTTTTTTTTTTCTTCTTTCTTTTGTTGGTTGTTGGTTAAGGCATGATACTTCTAATAGAAATTATATTTATGCTGCTATATACTGTCGATTATCTTCTGGTAAGTTTGGATATACATGCAACTGAGTTAATGGATCAATTCTTATTCTCTAGCTTTTTCCAGCTAGATTGTACTCAACTGATGAGTTAATGAATCTTAGCCAATTATAAAATTGGAAGCACCGTTAAGTTGGATAGAATTAGAGGCTATGATGTTGTTCTGGTTTCAGATGTACAAGTTTTTCTTGTAAGTAAGCAATTGATGTTTTTCTTACAATGGTGCAGTTAGTCATCTGGTATCATGATAACTTCTAGACCTCTTTAATTTAATAAAAGAAATTCCCGTATGGAGGAACCTCCTATATCTCTTTCAATAATTTTTATGATCATTGGTTTTGTTACTCATTATCATGCAATTTGGACCAAACCAGGCAAGTTGGAAGCTCCGGTAAGGGGAAGAGTGCATTAATATTTAATAAACTAAAATTTGTCATTGTTATTAAAATCAGTCCAAGTTATCCCTCTTCTCATAACAAGAGTAGTATATATATTTTTTTAAAAAAATAAGTATTATTTTAACTTTGAATATCATATATTAATTAACTATTTTGTATTTATATTTCTGATAATAATTTTTATATTATCTTGTTTTCTTAAAAATAATATCAATAATAAGGTTAATTTTGTAAAATTAATTTTTTAATCAATTTATTAATATTTTTAACAGTATAAAAAAGATCCTAGAACGTACATCCCTCATTAAAGGATCAAGAAAATATAAAATAATGTGATGGAAACTGAGGGTGTTTTTGCGTATGTAACTGGACAACTACGGCCTGAAGAACAAACTACAATCATACAGCTCTATGAAATCTGAATTAATAAATTTAGTAATAAATGTTTTAAAAAGGAGTTAAATTAATTAAATAGAATTAATTTTAAACCGTTCATTAATATATTATACTAAAGTTTATTTAATTCATAAATGTTATATTAAACCATATTAAATTAAGAAGAAGAAAAAATAAGGATAAAACGCACTTTAAGATTCTCCCAACATATTCTTTTTCCTTTGTGAGTATAAGTGTGAAAATGGAATGGATAGTGGAAAAAAGTGGTATAGTTACAAATTGCACTTTGGAGGAAGTAGGCTCATATCCTTTAAATCGTGTGGGACACCACCAACACCACTATTATTTGTTTATCAAAATTAGTGTTCAATGAAAAATTGATAGAATTCTGTAATCTAGCTAATACTAGGTTGACTTGATTAATTTCCTTCTAAATCCTTATTTATTTTTCTATATTTTTTGATCTATCATTTAGTTGACATATAATAATTTTGCAGTTTGTGATGGTGATATTGAAGTCCTCAGTGCCAATATCATTTGAGGGTAACAAGGAACCAGCAGCATATGCTGAGATAGTTTCAATGGGTGGCATAGATTCAGAAGTGAAGAGGAAGCTGATTGCTACCATTGGAACTATATTGCAGTCCAACCTTTCTATCCCAAGAACACGATTTTTCCTCAAAGTCTTTGATACCACTGCGTTTCGTACCAACTCCAAAATCTAGTTAATGCTTACGTATTCCATCTGCCAATAATAATCCTCATGCACTGTGCTTTAAAATCATCATCGATCAACATTATTAATTCCTTTTAAACGTGCTTGTATGCTTATTATTATTATTATTATTATTATTTATATTTTTCATTTGCTGTGCTACATTTGGATATCTTTGCTAAATGAGGTTCATGCATGCAATTCTCCTATATTCTACTTTTCGCTATTGAAAAATTAAACAAAGACTAGTTTAATTCATAAAATAAACAATCACCATTGTTCACTCGAAAATTTTCTACACACAATTAGAATACTATATTCTTATTTAATAGATTATCTTCACAATATATAATTATATATAGTTTCTGATGATTTAATTTGTGCCAAATTTTTCCTGTTTTTTTTTTTTAAAAAAAAAAACAAAGCAGTTGAGAGTGTAAGAAAAAGCAAATCCAATGATGATGAGTAATTGACTATGTGAAAGGGTTGATTTTCTTGACTCTCTGGTTTGTCTTTCAAAAAAGTCGTGTTTAGTGTTTAAGCGTATCCCCTTACCAATTATTAAGGGTCATGTCCTAATCTACTATATTAGTGTATTATAAACAGTTTCAACCTAGCTAATTCGATTCACAGCGTCTAAACACAAAGGAACTGGAAATTTTATGCGTATCTTAAAATATTAAATATAGGGTTTTAAAAGTCAAAAAGTATTAGGTCGAGCTACAATACTTTATTTCATAAACTAAACAAATGAAAGTAGGATCCGTGTAATAATTTCCAGATAGTTTAATATAGAGGATCTACTATGAGAAACAGACATTTAATATATATATATATATATATATATATATATATATATATGAAAGGATTCCCTTATTAATCTACTTAAATTTATTTTTAATTTAAAAATTAAATTATTTAAATTTAATATAAAATATGAATTATTAAGTAAAATACTATTTATTTATTACATAATGTTACACGTGTAATAAAAAATTATACAATAATTTGTATAATAGTGTCATTTTTGTGTCTATTTTTCTTCATTATTAATAATCTCTTCATAATAATTGAAGTGGTGGCCGAGAGAGATAGATATGCAAATAATGTTTCATAATTTTTATTATATGTGTAACATTACGTATATTTATTTATGAAATTTTTTTAAAATAATTATAAAAAATATTAAGATTTTAAATTAAATAACCATATTAAGTGTTTTTTTTATTGCAAAGAGTTAGCAGTATTATTTTTGGAACATAAAGAGTGAACAGTATAAATTTAAGATAAAAATATGTAATTAAATAAAAAAAATATTATTAAATTATATCTCTTTTATAATAATATGTATAGATAATTAATGTCACATGTCTTTATATATATAACAAAAAGAAATTACATATATAATATTTATACTAATATTAACAAGAGATACCTTTTTTTAGCAACTATTTTTGTTAGGTTATTATATCTTTTTGTTATTAAAAAATTTAAAAATTATTTTTTAATAACTATTATTTCCTTTTAATAATCGTGCACCCTACTATTTTTATTTTATTTTAATTTTTAAATAAATATTAAGAGGTTCGCATTTTTTTTTCATTCTCATGATAACGTAAATAATAGTTTTATTAATTATATCTTAATCTACCTTTCTTTTTTGTTTTGATAAAATGTATCTTAATTTATTCGTTACGTAGAATTTTTAAAGAATAGAAATATATACTCGACTAATTCATTTGTTACCGATAAATACTTACTCGCCAAATCCTTTATAATACATATCACATCTTTCACGTCAATGAAAATTGATTGAATAAGGAATATGATATATTTTCCGGCTCCTAACCATTTCTTTAAATAAAGTTTCACTAATATAAAATAAGCTAAAAATCTATTTTGGTCTCTTATAATAATTATTTTTTTTTAATTTAGTCTCATTTTTATTTTTGGTTTTAATTTGGTTTCAAATAAATTAATTGGTTTCAATTTGGTCCCTAATAAATTAATTGGTTTCAATTTGGGACTTTCGTCCAAATTATTTAAACGGAGTTAACTGTTGGTCACGTGGATGTCACGTAGATGCATAGGTGGATGCCACATGGACGCCAATTTTTTTGAAAACACCTGGAACCAGAACGGCCCGTTCTAGTTGCACTTTTGGTGTGTTAATTTTGCATCCGGAACGGGCCGTTCCAGGTGCAAAATTAACACAATAAAAGTGCAACCAGAACGGCCCGTTCTGGTTTCAGAACAGGCCGTTCTGGTTTCAGAACAGACCATTCTGGTTCCAGCTAAACATAAACGATAAATGATTATAGTTCACGGTTGTGAATCATGGAAGGAAAAAGATCCAAGGTACAAAGCATTTCAAACACTGAATTTGGTAATATTATCAATGGAAATTGATAACTTCAATTGCTAAACAGTTAGGCTATACAGTGTATTATTAAAGACAATGCAATGTATCACTAAAGACAATGGTAGCAAATTTTATTTCATTTCAAACTGGAGTGAACCACTTACTACCAAATTGACACTATACAATAAAGGATGAAGTGACATGGTATTTTTCCTTGAAGTCATTAACGATGTACCCCAACAACAACAACTTGTTCTTGAAGAGGTAGAACCTGAAGTAAAGGAAGAGGATACACAGCACTAACATTTCACCACACAACCATATGCAGGGACATATCTAAGTTAATCATAGTGGGAGCACTTACCCCCACTTAAATTTTTTTCATTCTTTTTTTCATATATAAAATATTAATAATTATATAAAATTTTAATTATAATAATTATAAAAAAAAATTCAACCTAAGGGCAAAATAGTAATCTTACACAATTATTAATTAAAAAATTTATTTTTATCTATCACATCAATCAATTCACTCACAAACTTTCACAAACTTTCTCTACACTTTCCACTCACTTTCCCTTAATCCAAACAACCTCACTTTCCACTTACTTTCCCTTCAAATCTTTCATTTTCCACTCCCCCTTTTCCATCTTCAAATCCAAACAAAGCCTAAAAGAACTTTCAAATTGTGTAATTTTCTTGCTGTTTTGTTTAATTCTTAATTTTTTTTATTAAAAACAAAATAATTTAATTTAATTATATATTATAAAAGTATTATAATTATGTTTCATTTTATAAAATAATATATAACAGCCGATGACAAACCTCCTATTGCAGGTAAATTGGTTTCCTCCTCGTGAGGCACCAATTTTACTACTTTATTGTAGAATCATCTATAAATAAACATTGACTATAATGGACAACTATAGTATATTATATTGTTCACCTATGAATAAGTGAATAGTAGTTTTTTTAAAAAAAAATTATTTGAAATTACTAAAATACTCTTTTTATAACTTAGGATCTCTTCCTCTATGGTCACCTTTTTTTATTTGAAATGTACATAAGGAGCTTGGTGGTGACATGACTTCTGTTGTCGTTGTCGTTTGTGTCCTCGACAATGATGCCTTGGTGGATGCGAAAGAGTCCATCCTGTGTGGGTGAGATGAGGTTGTTGATGTCATCAAGGCGATTGATGTGGTTCTTGTCATTGTCGTCACGTGTCTTGATGCTCCGATGGATTTGGAAGA